GCTGGACTGAGCGAACGCCTGACGCAGGATGTCACAGACGTACGGTTTCTCCCGCTGTGCAGTCTGTGAACACACACACACACAACAACCACACAACACACACACCACACACCACACACAGCTAAACATTAACATTGCACAACGTTACAACCCTGTAAAGTGAATAAAAGGAACTATAAAACATCCACACGATCACATCTTTATTTAATAATTCGTCAAAAATCCACACCAATGTTGAAATATATTAATAGAATTTTATAGTTATTCTCCATCGTTACTTTTAATTTTATTGATTATATTTAATGATATGTAAATATACACATAATACAGTACACTAGAAACTATAAATCTGGAAGGTTAATATAACTTATCACAGATTAGTGACAAAACTGCAGTTTATTTAGGCTGTTTGTGTATGTTTTGAGTCCGTTTATGCCTGTATGGTGTATAAATGTAATAAAAAACTTCAAAACTTATAATAATAGTATAAAATGTCTTCATGATAACCGAAGCAGAGTCTGTAACCTGATTGTATTTTATAGTTGGACGAAGGTAGCGAACTTGAACCCGCAGCGCTCACAGGTGTAAGGCTTCTTCCTCTCGTGGTGCATCCGCGGTGAGCGACCAGATGACACTTCTGAGCGAACATTTGTCGCAGTCGGAGCAACTGAAACGGCTTCTCGCCTGCAGGAAAGAGAGGGAGAGAGAGAGAGAAGAGAGAGACAGAGAGAGAGAGAAGACAGAGGAGAGAGAGGCAGAGAGAGAGAGAGACAGAGAAGACAGAGAGAGACAGAGAGAGGAAGAGACAGAGAGAGAGAAGGGAGAGAGACCCAGACCAGAGAGGAGAGAGACAAGAGAAGAGAGAGACAGAGAAGAGAGAGGACCAGAGAGAGAGAGAGAAGAGAGAGATCAGAGAGAGACAGAGAGAGAGAGAGACAGAGAGAGACAGAGGAGAGAGAGACAGAAGAGAGAAGGGAGAGAGACAGACAGAGAGAGAGAGGGAGGAGAGAGACAGGAGAAAGAGAGGGAGAGAGAGACAGAGAGAAGAGAGAGACAGAGAGAGAGAGAGAGAGAAGAAGACAAGAGAGAGAGAGAGAGACAGACGAGAGAGAGAGAGGAGAGGGAAAAGAGAGAACAGAACAGAGGGAGGAGAGAGACCAGAGAGAGAGAGGACAGAGAGAGAGAGAGAGAGAGAGAGAAGAAAGAGAGAGAGAGAGACAAGAGAGAGAGAGCGGAGAGAGGAGCAGAGAGAGGAGGGAGGGGAAGAGACAGAGAGAGAGAGAGACAGAGAGAGAGAGAGAGAGAGCAGAGAGAGAGACCGGAGAGAGAGAAGAGAAGAGAGATGGAAGAAGAGAGAAGAGACAGAAGAAAGGAACCCAGAGAGAGAGGGAGAGAGAGAGGGAGAGAGAGAGAGAGAGAGGGGAGGGAGAGAGAGAGAGACAGAGAGAAGAGGGAGGGATAGAGAGAGAGACAGAGAGAGAGGGAGGAGGGGGAGAAGAAGAGACAAGAGAGAGAGAGAGGGAGGGTGTTTGTGTGTGTGTGTTGTGTTTATTGATTCTAACAACCTCATGGCGCCCTGCAGTGCTTCCGTCAGTAGTCTGTTTGTTTGACAACTTCCTGTTGTGTGTTTGTGTGCGAGCAGTCGTCCTCCTGGCTTCCAGTCATCCCGTGGCGTTCGTCCAGAGCAAACTCTCCCAAGAAAACAAAGGTATGGATTCCATCCCCGAAGGCGAGCCACCCAATCCTGAACCCGCCACCCCAAACCCCAAAGCCACGGCGCCGTCCGGTGACGCCGGTGACGCCGGCGACACCATCATCCAGGACTTCAAGGCGGAGCCCGCTCGCCCTTCTATCAACGCCGCCGACCAGGTGACCTTCGAACCCGACCAGGAGCAGACCATCAACTCGGACACCCTCCACGCTCTGGTGGAGCAGCTGCGGCCGCCGGCGTCGAAGTACACGGACCACATCGACAGCGTTTCCGAGCCGTCCCCCGCCCAGAGCCTGGAGCAGATCGTCATCATCAGGACGGTGGACAACGCCGAACACAACCCTCCTCAGCAGTGAGGCCGAGCCGCACCGGCGTCTCTCTGGTGGAACACTTTTTAAACACACTCGCTCATTATATCCCCGTTAACAACAGGCGCCAACGCCACCTCGTAGCTTTGTTTATTATTTATATCACTAATTCTAACATTAACAACAACTTAATGAAGCTTATAGCTGAGGAACCGGGTCACATGATCAGATATAAACGGACCTCCAGGTCGCACAAACTTATCTGGGAATGTAAAATGGTAAACATCGGCGTAACGTAGCGTCCACACAGCGTTCCCTGCACAGTGACGGATTATTACCGTGTGCTCACGTTCGGTGGTTCAGATAATCTGCTGTACAACCAACAGGCTGATGGCTCCATGTTTTATGTGCTTTGAGTTAGTCTGAAGTTATTTTATTTTAGGAGTGAAGCTGAAAACTAAAAGTAAGATCAGAGTTGTAAAACAAAAAAAGAAGTGATTTCCTGAGTTTCCTTTAGAGGATTCAGAGTTCTTACATACAACAGGACGGAAAGTGAGTTTGTGAAACCAGAAATATCCGAAGCTGAACACATTGAATCCGTTTCAGTGTTTAGGAAGGAAGCGATTCTCGTCGCTCAAACACAAATCTCAAGGCGGCTACAACCACTCAAACATCTGAGTAAAATATATAAACAACAGTGAGGAGTTCTCTTAAAAAAAAAGACACTTTTTAATCAGTTTTTGGTCTAATTTAATAGCTGATCCAGAAGCAGAGGTTCAGATTAAATACAGACTCTCATCAGTGTCATAAAACCTGCTGCTTTGGTTTTGAGTTCCATCCATTAATTCATTAATGCATAAAGTGTCGGCATCATTCTCAGCAGGAGCCTTTTTTTGGTCATTTTTCTACAATAAATCAGTTCCACTAAGAGGGATTTAAATTGTCAGGGGGCTGAAAGTCTGCTTGGTGCTTCCTTAACTGCACAGCTGTAGACAGATGTGAACCAGAGGAGGCCAAAGGAGGTTTTTAAATCCAGCTTCTACTAAAAGTTCATGTTTGTAACATCACTAACGTCAGATTTAAATCTCCTCTCTGCGCCTGGAGTTCCTTTTCTCTCTGTTTGGATGAATAATCAATGTAAAGAAGTTTATCAGGCCTGAATGTTAATCAGAAATATATATATATAAATATATATATATATATAACCAGACCGCCAGTACGACTTATGTTGTTTTAATATGTAATGTAGTCAGTAGGAGCCTTGTTATCGCCATGACATCTGATTTTATTTATCATAAATGTTCCCCCTTCAGTGTTTGACATGTGATGGCGGCTTTATTAATGTGAACACAGCCCTGTTGATGCAAACCGAGGTTTTTGTTTCAGTGTAAAATAGTTCATTTGTTTTTTAAAAGCAGCTGTTTTAGGTCTTAGCAGAAGTGTTCGTGCTTCAGGTTATTTCACAGTATTTCTATCGACTCGAAACAAGAGAAGAAGTTTGTTTTTGTTTTATGATTTCATTTTTTGTTTTTTCTTTTGGATAAAACGTCTGCGTTATTTGTACAGAAATGTGAATTACATACATATACAAGTTCACTGCTGTATAAAAACTGTACACCAGGAAAATAAAATTAAAAATGAGACAAAAATGAGACAATGAGTTGTTTGTGACTAATAATTCATTATTGTTTATAGTTGCGTAAGAGTGTCACATTTTGTCCAAATGTTTGTGCATGTGTGTTTGTTTGTTCTCAGTTTAAAGAAAACGGGGAGAATGAAAATGTGTTTTACATTTTATAAATAAAAAGATAAAGATATTATAAAATCTTATCTGTTGTCCTGTAAAAAAAAATATTAATAAAAACAAAACGTTTGTCTGTGAATATAAAAATACAGTTACAACAAAAAGTCTTAAAATATAAATATATGTCTGAAAAGATATGGCACCAAATTAAGGGGAGAATTATCTGTTTGTGTTCTCAGTTTAAAGAAAAAGGGGAGAATGAACAAGTCTTTTTAATTTTATAAATATAAAATATTATAAAATAAAAAGTTTTAATTTGTTGTCCTGTTAAAAAATATAAATAAAAACAAAAACAAATGTTTGTCTGTGAATATAAAATGTGGCCTTAATGAATAAAAATACAAAAAAATACAGTTAAAATAAATAAATCTTGTGTTTTAAAATAATAATAATAATAATAATGTGTTTTTTTATGATATATATTTATATGAAAGATATGGCACCAAATTAATTAATTATACAAGTCTTTTTATTTTTATAAATATAAGATATTATAAAATAAAACGTTTTAATTTGTTGTCCTGTAAAAAAAATAAAAAATAAAAACAAAAACAAATGTTTATCTGTGAATATAAAATGTGGCCTTGATGAACATAAATACTGAAAAATACAGTTAAAATAAATAAA